TGTGTGTGTGTGTGTGTGTGTGTGTGTGTGTGTGTGTGTGTGTGTGTGTGTGTGTGTGCCTGTGTGCGTGCGTGTGTGTATACCTTATCGCCTGTGACCACCTCCTGCCCCACGGCCCTGTGTTTGTACACAGGCATGATCACAAACCATCCGCCCTCATGCCCATCTCTGCCCAGCTCCACGCGGATGTTGTTCTTCTGCAGGAGTGCAGGCATCTTGTTGTTGATCTGGATGTACTTGTTGCTGTTGATGTGTAACAGTTGGATGGGTTGTCCGTAGAACACTTTGGCCCCCCACGCCTTCTCGTTCTCCACTTGGTTTTGCCTGAGTGTGAAGATGCAATGGTGGTGTGAGTATGAGTGGCAGGCGTCAGCTTGTTGTCTAGTAGACAGTCATGTGCGTGGGATGCTTCCCGTTGTTTTCCGTGTGGTGTTGCCTGTGTTTTAGGGTCTATGTGTTTCGCTATGGAAAATTATCAGTGAAATGAATCATCTTAATGCCCAATAGAAAAGCATATATGTGGAATGGATCTTCTTGTTATCCAATAGAAAAGCATATATGTGGAATGGATCATCTTGTTATCCAATAGACAAGCATATATGTGGAATGGATCAACTAGTTATCCAATAGAAAGGCAAATATATGGAATGGATCAGCTTGTTATCCAATAGAAAAGCATATATGTGGAATGGATCATCTTGTTATCCAATAGAAAAGCATAAATATGGAATGGATCATCTTGTTATCCAATAGAAATGCAAATATATGGAATGGATCATCTTGTTATCAATAGTATAGCATATATGTGGAATGGATCATCTTGTTATCCAATAGAAAAGCATATATATGGAAAGGATCATCTTGTTATCCAATAGAAAAGCATACATGTGGAATGGATCAGTTTCTCTTCCACTTAATATTTTCTGAGTGATGCGTTAGGAACTGTGTAATTGGACGAACCTCCTTTGTTTCACCCACTGACACACGATAAATTGGAATGAGTGGTCAAGTAATGATGATATATACACTCTTTCGAGGTATGTGTGTACGAGTTCTATATAACCGTAAGCGCCTGTCAAGTATTTATAGGACAGCCCGACTGCCCATTCCCCACTGATCTCTGACTGTACCTTGCACAATATATATGTTTTTATTTAAACAAACCTATTGTCAATTTAAATACAAAACAAAAGATCCAGGTGTCGGCAGCGCAGCGTTCACGGCCATGCCCCAACTGCTTATTCCACTAATTATCCCAATCCTAAACCCTGAAACCTTGAAAACCCTATCTACGTATTCCACGTGCTCAAAGTTTTGATTTGTACCAATACTCCCCCCATTGTGTATAAGTATACATATACATATACCCACGCATAGGTCGATACAAATATATAGATCTCCACTCTCGTTCGATGGCTGTATGTGTGTGTATATGTTGTGTGTAAGTATAGTATTCATGGGCACACACATCTCTATACGAATATATAACAATGCAAACATCTAGTTCTACACTCTCGTTCGATGGCTGTATGTGTGTGTGTGCATGTGTGTAAGTAAAAGTATACATGTGCACACACACCTCTAATTACCCACGCATAGATGTTAAGTCCTCGACACAACTGTATACCCCACGTGCTCACTGTCTACATGTCGCAAACTCTGCCACACAACGTAGACATGCACACAAATACACACACACATGTAAATATGAGATCCACACCTACGCCGACGCAGATATACTATCACACCCCTCTACATTGCAGTACGTACACGCGTACATACCCACATACACACACGCGCGTATTATAGCTATAAACAAACTTCACATCTACGCCACTCACCGTTTCTCCAGCTCAGCTGCGTGTTGCAGTTTGGTCAAGAGCACAGCGTTCGCAATCTTGTCATGCAACGGCGCAGACTGTGCCTCGTTAGAAGCTTTGGCGAACTTCTGTTGGGCAGAGTATCGGTTGGCTGGGCACACCTATACCCACGTGTGTACGTATACATATATTTAGATCAGTATGATGGGATAGTCTACACAAAGGGGTACCAAACATGCTGGTACAGCATAAAATTGCAGATGATACAGGAAGTGGAAGCATGATATTAATATATATANATTTATATGTGTGTTGCGTGTGTGTGTTCTGTGTGTGTGTGTGTGTGTGTACTGTGTCTAGTGTA